GGGACAGCACTGGCGAAATCTTCCAACTGAACCATAGCGAAGGTTTATCCAAAAAAGTCGCTAGGTTTGTCAGTATGAATATTCTATGAAAAAAAAGCTCTAAAAGGTCTGAAAGTTACTAAATCTAGTGCTAAAGTCACGCTCGTGTGTGTGAGGCATGGGAGCTGATGGCAGGGGGCGGTGGATATTTGTGGAGGTCAATGTGGATATTGTGGATGAGATCACGTTGTATTAGTTCTACAGCTTCAGTTTCGGAACTTTCACGCTTAGTAACACATACAGCTGTTCCCTCACCACAGTGCACCAGTGAAAAGGGACCCCTCTCAAACAGTGTCGCGTTCCGAACGTTGTTTAAGCGACAATATTGCAGTATTTAAAAAATTCATATCATAACAAAAATAAACACCGGTATTCGGTATGAACCGGTATACCGCCCAGCATTAGTTTAAGGCACTTTACTTGTAAATGTCAGCTGTAGGTATAAACATATTTTATATTGCTGTTGCAGCATCTTCGGATAGAAAGAGAGCATGTAAGACTGTGAATAAAATTCTAGACTGCACCGTTGAGGGGGATTCTGTAAAGGTCCCAAAGAAAGAGGTTAGTGGTCTGTATGATTTCTAAAAAAAATATTAAATGTTTTGGGGTCTTCTGTATTTGCTTTTATATATATATATATATTTCTTTTTACCTCTGTTAAATCAGGAGAGTAAACACCAAGATAATAGCCCAGATGAATCAGATCTCAAAGATTTGCAGGTAATGTTATGGGGTGTACTTTATATGGAATTTGTTTTTTAGTAATGTATATACAGTAGTCAACATTTGAAGTGGATCAAAACCTTTCATCAAAGTTGTCCTAAAACCAAAACAATACCCGTTCTTTTCATAGGACAACTTTGATGAACTTATATGATCCACTTCAAATATTGACTACTGTAGTAATTTTAATAAATTGGTAACACAAATAATAAGTGTAAGTATACAGTAACTTTAAAATTATTTGCAAACTAGTTCAATTAGTTTATAGTTAATTCATAGTTTATAAACTGTAGTCTGTACATTAATACACTAATAGGTTATGTACAAAAATAGAAAAACGCAAAAAAAATATGTGTTCAGTATTTGGTGTTTCATTTTGTTCGGTTTTAGCTTCAGCCAAGAATTTTCATTTTGATGCATCCCTACTTTATTTGCTTAATTGGTTTTATTTATAATGTTTTAAATAAAAGTGTTTTACCTTTCTGTTCATAAAGGAATCCTTAAAAAGTAGGGGTGCTCCAATCAGGATTTTTGAGACCGATCGCCGATCACAGAAAGCAGTATCTGCCGATACCGATCACCGATACGAAAAACGCAAAAAAAAATATGTGTTCAGTATTTGGTGTTTCATTTTGTTCGGTTTTAGCTTCAGCCAAGAATTTTCATTTTGATGCATCCCTACTTTATTTGCTTAATTGGTTTTACACTGATACTTTTATTTATTTATTCACCTTCACTTTGATATTTATTTATTTATTTTAAAATTGATACTTTTATTTGGCACAGATGGATTCAAATGAACTGAAAAGATAGATGAGACTTATAATGTTTCTAGATTTATAATGTTTTAAATAAAAGTGTTTTACCTTTCTGTTCATAAAGGAATCCTTAAAAAGTAGGGGTGCTCCAATCAGGATTTTTGAGACTGATCGCCGATCACAGAAAGCAGTATCTGCCGATACCGATCACCGATACTGATCTTTTTAAAGCCTTCTTTTTATAATTTATAACTATTTATAGTGATACTCCAAACAGGATTTTTAGACATTTATTCAGGGCCTGAATTTCATTTTTGAAAATGGGGGAATTCCCCTCTTAGGTGTCTCTTGTGAGAGGAAAAGCAGCTTTCACACAGGAGTCCGCAACTGATCCGCGGCTGTTTACCACAAACACAACATTTATCCATTATTTTGATTTCAAATCCAAACATTGTCACTGAAAATGCTTTTTTAGACTCTGTGTGGAAACGATCTCTGCAGTGCTGCAGACGCACCGCTCGTGGAACGCACTGCCGGACAGCAACCGTGTGCAGTGTGCACAACATGAGCGTGGAAAAAAATAAGCACCACATTCGCACTGCAAATGGAGTAATGTAAACCTGGCATTATGTGTGTGCCTTGCGAGTGTGCAACACTGGCAAGAATTAAAAAGTAACGCAATTTATAAACTTTAGTGACGATGTGACACTGTCTCGATTGTGCAAGTGACAATTCCTATGTCAACTGTGCAGCGTGTAGCTCGCTTATAGTGCAGACAAAATGTGTGGTGATTTGAAGACATTTGCGTATTTTGAGAGAGAGCACGCGTGGTGATTCACTCATGCTTTTTGTGAAATTGCATCTCACACAAGGTTTTCAAATTACTTTATAAGTTATTTAATTAAGAAATATGAAGGTGAGTACCTCACCTTCAGCATTATAATTATTTCTCTGCGCCGGACAGAGACTGAGACAATGCCGCTGCATGTCATGCCAAACCTCTCACAGCAGACGCTTCATCAGCTTGCGATCGTTTTTTTGAGATCTGCCTTTTTAGAGACCGCCGATCAATCATCCCAAAGCGATTATCGGCCGATAGTGATCGCTAGCCGATCAATCGGAGCACCCCTATTAAAAAGACACTGTGTTGTGAAGACTGGAGTAATGATGCTAAATATTCAGCTTTGTCATCACAGAAATAAATTACATTTTAAAATATATTGAATTAGTAAAGAGTTATTTTAAATAGTAATATTTCTAAATATTACCTTTACTGATTTGACCAAATTAATTCAGCCTTGTGAGCTTTCAAAGAGATGTCATTTACAGTCTTACCAACCCGCAACTTTTGAATGGTAGTGTTTGTCCTAAAAATCAGTGTAAAACTGTTTTTGGATTATGTCTTGTAGGTGTGTGAGAAAACCGGTGAACTGCTCCTCTGTGAGGGGCAGTGCTGTGGTGCCTTCCATCTGCAGTGCATTGGCCTCACTGAGACCCCTAAAGGCCGGTTTATCTGCCAAGAGTGTAAGACGGGTGAGTAAACAGTCCATAACCAATATATCAGCCAAGCTATTTGGCCATTTTGAAACCGTTAGGATTGATTGATAACAGTCCTCTTAGACAAATATTAGTTTGTGTCTTTTGTGTCCGTTCCGAAAATCTTCTGACGGCATTGCCAATGCTTAAAATCATTTCCTATTTTTAGAATATTCTAGTTTGAGTTAATAAAACTTGTTTCATTTTAGCAATTTTGTTCTTAATTACGATTCTAACCATACACACTCTAATAATGATATTGTGATGCACTCAAAAATCCAGTCCAAGATATACAAGTGAACACCTTCGTTTCTTTGTGTGTCTTTCCTGTTCTTCCTTCCCGTAGGTGTGCACACATGTTTTGTGTGTAAAAAGCCTGACAAGGAGGTCAGGAGGTGTATGATCCCTGTGTGTGGGAAGTTTTATCACATGGAATGCATACTGAAATATTCCCCCACCGTCGCTCAGAACCGCGGCTTCCGCTGCTCCCTCCATGTCTGTCTGGCTTGCTTCATCATCAACCCTGCCAACCCTGGTATCTCAAAAGGTGACATTCAGATATTGCATTTGCAAAGATTATTAAAAAATAAAATCTGTTGTTTCTACGCATAACAAAAGCATGATTTTATGTCATTGATCACAACTTGTCCATCTCACAGGTCGCTTGACCCGCTGCGTCCGCTGCCCTGTGGCCTACCACGCCAATGACTACTGTATGGCTGCCGGCAGCGTCCCATTGGCCAATAACAGCTTCCTGTGCCCCAACCACTTCACTCCACGCAAAGGGTGCAAAAACCATGAACACATCAACGTTAGCTGGTGTTTTGTGTGTTCTGAAGGTATGCAGTCCAGTCCTCATAGATCTCTTATTAGTGGTGCTTGCTAAGGCTATTATTTTCGATGTTGGAAAAGACTCTGTTATAGTGAGGACAGAGCAAACATTTTACTACGGTTGTTTATTACAATTTCATTTGTTTTCTGTCTCTCCCTATAGGAGGAAGTCTGCTCTGCTGTGAATCTTGCCCTGCTGCCTTTCACCGTGAGTGTCTGAACATTGACATGCCCCAGGGAAGCTGGTTCTGTAACGACTGTCGAGCGGGAAAGAAACCCCACTACAAGGACATTCTGTGGGTTAAAGTGGGCCGCTACAGGTTTGTGTGTTGTTTCACCAGTACCACTTTCCCCTGAAAATTACAGTGCAATATTGATGATGTTCACTGACACATTTCTGACCTTTTGTTCCAGGTGGTGGCCCGCTGAAGTGGCTCAACCAAAAAACGTTCCTGAGAACATCTACCGCATGCGGCATGAGGTGGGGGAGTTTCCTGTGCACTTCTTTGGCTCCAAAGACTACGTGTGGACATATCAGGCTCGCTGTTTTCCCTACATGGAAGGGGATGCCAACAATAAGGAAAAAATGGGAAAGGGTGCAGATGCTGTCTATAAGTTAGGTAATTTTACACTCCAGCAGTTATCTAAAATAGTTAATTGACACAATTAGGTTATTAGGTGCCATGCTTAAAGGAACACTCCACTATTTTTGAAAATAGGCTCATTTTCCAACTCCGCTAGAGTTAAACAGTTGAGTTTTACCGTTTTCGAATCCATTCAGCCGATCTCCGGGTCTGGCGGTAGCACTTTTAGCTGTAGCTTAGCATAGATCATTGAATCTGATTAGACCGTTAGCATCTCGCTCAAAAATGACCAAAGAGTTTCTCTGTTTTTCCTATTTAAAACTTGACTCTTCTGTAGTTACATCGTGTACTAAGACCGACGGAAAATGAAAAGTTACTATTTTCTAGGCCGATCTGGCTAGGAACTATACTCTCATTCCGGCATAATAATCAAGGAAGTTTGCTGCCGTACCATGGGTGCAAAATAAAAAAAATTGTCTGAAAATAGTCCCCAGCACGCTCCCTGTGCAAAGCAGGTGGTCACGTTGGTTATGTTGACGGAAGTTAGTCTATTTTCAGGCGCTGCGTAATATCATTGCGCCTGCTGCAAGTTTTAAATAGGAAAAATATAGAAACTCTTTGAGCAAGATGCTAACGGTCTAATCAGATTCAATGATCTATGCTAAGCTACAGCTAAAAGTGCTACGCCAGACCTGGAGATCGGCTGAATGGATTCGAAAACAGTTAAACTCAACTTTACTCAACTCAACTGTAAAGTTGACTCAAACTCAACTCAACTCTAGGGGAGTTGGAAAATGAGCCTATTTTCAAAAATAGTGGAGTGTTTCTTTAATACTCACTTAATATCAAAACATATTTGCTATCTAAAATATAACTATGTGCAGCGGGATTTTGAAAAAAATAAATAATATAATATTTTGACATTATGATATTATATAACAATGTATATTGACATTTTGAAGCTGTTTGGACCAACTTGACATGGGCTTTTGTAACATGGTGGAAATCTGATTAATCTGCTGTATCTTGACACTTTATCACATTATGACTGATTATGACAGTATGAAAACAAATGTTTGTTTTATATATAAAAGTTTAAGTCACTGTAGAAATGTGAGTAATTAATATATATATGCTGATACCACTTAAAGCCTGCCAGTTGAAACAACTATTGATTAGAGTTTACAATGGCTACGTTCATACTGCAGGCAAATGTGGCCCAAATCCGATTTTTTTTGCTCACATGTGACTCTGATCTGTTTTTGTCATGACAGTGTGAACAGCACAAACCGCATGGAATCTGATCTTTTCCATTCCGATTTCTGCCACTTCCATATGTGGTACTAAATCCAATACATGTCAGATGTTTTGCAATGCGACCGCAGAGTGAACAGTCATGCCGGATTGCATGTGACTTTTACGTCACTCTAGATCGACATTCGTCATAATTTGGGAGACACTTCAAAGATTTTTACATGCCCAAAGTGATCAAGACAGTTGCGAAAGGTAATCAGTGGAAGTGTAATGTGTCAGAACTCATAAGAATTACAGTGACAACTCTATATACAAACAAAACATGAGGTCTCGTATCATAAAAGCTTCAAAACTCTGCTGTCTTTTGTCACATCCTTGTCTTTATTTTTCATATTGCCTGCACATAATTTCGGCGGATTCAGCAGCAGATTACACTATAAATAAACGCATAATCACTTATTTTATGTCCTCCGTGTTTACTTCCGTATGACAGCGCGCTGCGCAAGTGTTGCCAAATCCACAGTTTCCCTGCGGAATTAGGAATTAGCAGAATTTCCAGCGGAATTAGGCTACTTTTCCACTGTTACCGCGGGATGCTTCTCAACTTCGTGGGTCGACGCGACCCCACTAATGCGATATTTATCCCCCTGAACATGGCTGTGCTAGTTTTGAGAAGCAATTGGGCGGATTTTGTTGTGTAAACCTGGAAACCCTGTGCGTATTGTTCTTTTGCGCATGCGGGTTAGTTCAGAACCATAATCTGTTCACACTGTAAAACTGATATTGGCCACATTTAAAACAACAAATCGGAATTGAGCACTAAGGCTCGCAGTGTGAACGTAGCCAATGTGGATTCTTTCAATATTGAGAGCAAAGTGGTTTAAAGAGTAATTTGTTGTTTTTTCTCAGCTTTAAATGAAGCAGCCGAAAGATTCAGGGAACTGCAGGCGGAGAAGGAGATGAGACAGCTTCAAGAAGACAGGAAGAATGACAAGAAACCTCCGCCATACAAACACATTAAGGTAATAATGTCAAATGCTTTAACACAATTTTACAATTTTTGTGTATTTACTCGCATATTTCAAAAATCCATGTTACTCAAATTCTCCTTTTGTGTTCCATGAAAAAATAACTTTTTAATGTCATGAAGGCGAGGGTTGTCCTTCAAGACTTCAGTGTTGTGTTGATCTCCCATTCTTAAAATTGGCCTAATGCTGGCTTCTCAGAGAGTGACACTGATCTCATGTTATCTCTCATGAACACTGATCGATTTTCACGCAGGTGAACAGACCGATAGGGAAAGTGCAAATCATCACGGCAGATCTGTCTGAGATCCCACGCTGCAACTGCAAAGCCGAAGACGAGAACCCTTGTGGCATTGACTCAGAGTGCATCAACCGCATGCTAATGTACGAGTGTCATTCTCAAGTGTGTCCAGCAGCGACTCGCTGTCAGAACCAAAGCTTCACCAAACGCCAGTACACCGAGGTGGAGATCTTCAGGACACTGTCGCGTGGTTGGGGTTTACGCAGTGTGTCTGACATCAAGAAGGTGGGCTGTATTGACTTGCTGATTTATTTGAGAGATTTAATACACACAGAGCTGGGTAGATTACTTACAAATTGTAGTCTGTTACTGATTCCAAATTACATGACAAAAATTGTAGTTAGTAATGCCATCCAGTACATTATACATTTTAGGTAATATAATCAGACTATTTTTAGATTAATTTTAGATTACTTTTGACCTATTTTGTTTTTTCACATTGATTTAAATAGGAAAATTAATCAAAATAAAACACTTACTGAAAAAATGAAATATTTTATTTGTTTACCTGCATGTCATGTGACCATAACCAATGTCAGAGAACCATGAACATGCAAATGTGATACTTCATTATTAAAATATTTCAATAAACTTTAAATTCTTTAAACAAAAATATATTAGCTGAAAGAGGATCAGATGACAAGTTGGTGAATTTGTGCGTTTTAATGTTTGAAAGACACCTTCCAAAGTAATACATGGTAAAATGAGTGATAATTCAAATAAAAATTAATGGGTTTCTTTAGTAGTTGTTGCCATGTTGAAACACTTCTTAAACCGGAAATGATTTTTGTTGTCAAATGCTGTGTAGCCACCTGACTAATGACTGATCTCTGTGTGGATATCCACAAAACAGGAGGACTTTCTGAGTGTATAAAAGCAGTAGGTTATTTTAGAAAGGAAAATTTAAAAGATGAAAAAGAGGAATTAGGGAGAATCAATCAATTCTGAATAAAGGATTTCTATTGTGTAAATTATGTGTTATCATGTAATCCATAAGAAAGTAACTGTAGTCGGATTACGAGTATTTTAAAATGTATTTGAATATAATTACAAGTATTTAATATTGGGAATCTGATTACGTAATCCAGATTAGTTACTACCCAGCTCTGAACACACGCATATTAGACTTATTATGTCTCTCTTCCTTATTTAATTACATTACATTACTCCACCATAGGGAGCTTTTGTGAATGAGTATGTTGGAGAGGTCATTGACGAAGAGGAGTGTCGAGCCAGGATCAAACATGCACAGGAGGACAACATCTGCAACTTCTACATGCTCACACTGGATAAGGTCAGTCACCTGAGGCAATTCTCAATCCAGATAATCCTGATAACATGTTCTCCACTTACCTTGACACTGGGCTCTGTTTTCTTTGTGTATGTGCAGGATCGGATCATAGATGCTGGGCCGAAGGGAAACCAGTCCCGTTTTATGAACCACAGCTGCCAGCCGAACTGTGAGACGCAGAAGTGGACGGTGAATGGGGACACCAGAGTCGGGCTATTTGCATTGGAGGACATTCCTACAGGTGAGTTTGAATCTAGATAATATGGTAATAGAGAGGGGTGAATGCTTGTTTAATAGGTTTGTTGGCTGTTCTCAGGTGTTGAACTCACTTTTAACTATAACTTGGAGTGTCTTGGTAATGGGAAGACGGTGTGTAAATGTGGAGCGCCCAACTGCAGCGGATTCCTTGGTGTCAGACCAAAGGTATGGCATGCTGCGTGTATTATAGGGTTGTTTTAAAGGTATATTCAGGGTTAAAGTTGGTGTACTCATTGTGACAACTTTCTCTTCAGAATCAACCCTCATCTGATGACAAGGTGCGCAAACTGAAAAAGAAGGTTGCAGTGAAGCGCAAGAGCCAGTTGGAGGTCAGCAAGGAGCGCGAGGATGAATGTTTCTTCTGTGGTGATGGGGGGCAGATTGTGTCTTGTAAGAAGCCTGGCTGCCCCAAGGTCTATCATGCCGACTGTCTGAATCTGTCCAGGAGACCTGCAGGTGAGTGACTCATTTTCAAAGAGCACTAGTCACTTTTAACTATTTTGTTTTAACAGGTTTCATTGTCAAGGTATTTGCCTTGTTCTAAAGTTTATGATGTGTTTCTTTCACGGTGAGCTCTATTTTTCTTTTGTTTTTATGTATTTTGTATTAAAACAGGAAGTTGAGGTGTCCACTAAAAAAAAAAAAAAACAACAAAAAAGATGAAAGCCTTTAGTTTACACTAATGTTAAAAAATTTAAGAGAAATTTTAAATGTTGAAAGAAAATTGTGTTAAGGAATGTTAAAGAAATCTCTTATGCTTACCAAGGTTGCAATTATTTGACCAAAATATAGTAAAAATTAATATAACAGTAATATTGGGAAATATAGTTACAATTTTAACGGTTTTAAATATATATTTTTTAAATATAAAGTTGTATTTATTCCTGTGTTGGCAAAGTTTAATTTTCAATAGCCATTACTCCAGTCGTCAGTGTCACATGATCTTTCAGAAATCATTCTAATATGCTGATTTGGTGCACATGAAACATTTCTTAGTATTATCAATATTGTTCTGCTTAATATTTTTGTCGAAATAGAAAGTTAAAAATAATAACATTTATGGAAATAGAAAGTTCAAAAGAACAACATTTATTTGAAATTGAATTTTTTTGTAACAAATTGTAACAATTGTTTTATTACTATTTATTTATAACCCCTCAAACTGTGGCAAAACAATGGTTTTGCTGCTTGCTATTACTAGTTTGAGACAGGACGTATTTTATATAATTTTTTAAATATAAATTGACCCTTATGAATGGTTTTGTGGTCCAGGATCACATATTTGTTTTTTCTTTCTGGTTAAAACTATGGCTATCAATAGAGGAAAATAATCACAATTCATCTCCTGATTTCTTACCAGTCTATAGAAAGCATGGTAATACAAAACTTGAAATGTTTAAAAAAAAAAAAAGTTTTAACTTAACGTATTTAAAAACAAACAGTAAAACATTCACTTTACTTTTACAAACTGTGGTTTGCTTAAATTCTTTTCAGCATTTTAAAGGAATTTTCTTGCTTTAGTAATGGTAAATAATTGAAAAACTCTCCTACTATTGGCTATTCGGTCAGCTCTAATTTTATTCAAGCTAAATCATGATTGAATCTGCCTTATATGCATTTTTCAGGCCGCTGGGAGTGTCCATGGCATCAGTGTAATGTGTGTAGAAGGGAGGCGGCATCCTACTGCGAGATGTGTCCCAACTCCTACTGCAAACAGCACCGTGAGGGAATGCTGTTCATATCCAAACTGGACGGCAAGCTGTCCTGCAGCGATCATGACCCATGCGGCCCCGATCCTCTAGAACCGGGTGAAATTCGAGAGTACGTGCCCGGTACACCTATCCTACCCCCTCCGCCCAATATGTCAGTGTCAGGCAGAATACCCCTGCCTGCCTTACCACCTGCTGCTCCGCTCTTCATTCCCGCCCCCAACAGACCTGCGTTCCAAGCCCAAAGAGACCCGTATGCAGACGAGGTAGTGGACAATGTGGTTTTGCCATCCTCTTCTCCTAAGGACATCAAGGAGGAAGATATGAGCGATGAAGGCGAGGTGATGGAAGGGGTGATCGGGGATGAAGGGGAAGATGAAGGCCTTGAGGTCGTGGATGATGATGAAGAAATGGACTACGGAGGGATGGGATTCGAAGACGAGGAGGAAGAAAAGGAAGAGGAGGACTGGGGAGATGAATATGTGAATGATGATTTCGAAGACACTGAGGACTTGGGGGAAGTGGAGGGGGACGACCAGGAATCATCATGGGATGAGTTTGTCGAAGGAGAAAAGTGAGCTCTGCTGCATTTATGCTAGACATCCATCTCTCGCATACAAACTCTCTCTCTGATGGGCACAGCAGGTGACCGGTAGGGAAAGTCAACTGCCGTTTTTCTGGTTGGTGCCCAGCTGAACTTTTGAGAATGATGGACATCAGCTTGCCTTCTCAACCCAAGGAAAGAGGGTTGGACCTGGTGCTGTGGGACTGAGACTTTTTTTCAGTCCTTTTGTTGGAATTTAATTAGTGTCTGGTGCTCTTTTGTGCTTTTTTTACATTTTCCTCCTGGACTTGTTTACATTCTCTGATTTACACAGAAAGATGACCTCACGGAGGATTGAAATGGGGCACCACAAACCATACGGTTGTGTCTTATTAATGAAATCTGCATATATTTTGATTACGCTTCATTGACATAGAAAAGAGAACATAAAGCAGCAGATAAGTAATGTTTAGTCCCTTCACCAGGTGATTACATAGCTACATCATTAGGCCAAAAATGGCTCCACGGGTCACGGTACTTGAAATAATTTCTTCAGGTCTGTCTGTTAGTATCACAGAGTGGCTACATGAGAATGAATGATAGGCATCCTAGTACATTTTTAGCTGGTTTGTGAATAAAAATAAATAAATAAAAGAGTACTACTATCAAAAAGGACAAGGAAGTATGACATTCCCAGCATCATCCTGTTTCATTTCAATCATGCACTTTTTTGTTGCATTTGTGTTTGTCATTTTACTTCAGACAATATGTCAAGACTAAAGAAACTTAGTCGTTTTAAGTTTTTGTAAAGTCTAGAGGAGTAATTGTATCACCTTTCATTCTCCATGCTTGTGGCCTTTGAGTCTTGAAAGCTTTTAGGAAAGATGAGTTTGTACCTCTTAGATAAGATGGATGTTACAAAAGACCTATTTGTACTTTCTCCAGTTACTTAAACTCAACCACCATCTCAAAATACTGTTCAAAAATCTCCAGATGCCTCGTTGCAGTAACCATTCAGAATGTCAGAGAAATGTTGACACGTTGTGTAACAAATCTGCGGGTTATGTTTTCCTGCTATTTGTATTTGTATGTGTCTATGAGTAGGTTAACTTTAAAAGGTGCCTCTGAATGTTTTGCACTCTTTCAGAGATCAGGAGAAATGCAAAGCGTCTTTTATATTCATGATTCCAAGCTGTTCATTCAACATACTGTGTTGATCTGAGGCAGTTCATTGTTGGCTGCTTTGTCATCCTCTATTAAGACTCAAGCAATCATATTTATTTAAGGGATGCAGACAACCCCTTAAAAATGCATATTTAGACAAATAAATGCCCTAAATAATTTTTATTTTCATTACAGATATCATCATACTGGAGCCTATTTTTGTTTCCAGTAGTCATATTTTGGTTTAATTTTGCAACATTATGATTTATGAACCTATATAAAAATTTCCGAGCTGTCACTTAATTCTCAAAAAGCATGAAAGCACCTTTTGTTTGAAACATCGTTGTGCACCAGGTACAATTCCTGACTGAAAAACTGCCTCATGTAATGAAGTAATGTTCATATTCACAGAACCTTTTTGGAACCTGTTTCCATCACTGATATTGTACAATATGTTTTCAATGCCTTTAGGCCTTACACTCATTATTTCTTGTTCTGTAACTTTGCAACCTAATCACGTGGATGCTTTTTTTAAAAAGCTTTTTTTTCTTTAGCATCATCAACCTTTGTACTTTGCTTAGCTCTGTGTTTCTTCAAACTTTTTGTCTCTTTGTATTTATGGTCCTTGTATAATCTTTTTCACTCGTTTTTTTGTTCCTTGTTTCTTGTATGTTTGTTAAATATGCTGCTGTGTTTCAGCGCTATGGGCCCTTGACACCATGAACAAGACGAAATGCAGATGAGAGTTTCCTGACGACATTTGGGCAAAAAGTTTGCTGCCATGTTAGAGACCCATGACTTTGTACTGTACCATAATAAATATTATAAGTAAAATTTTACAATAGACAGCAGTTTTTTCTGTTTTTTATTAACTGTCCTTATGAGGTATATGTGGATCAAAGTAGATATAGTTAATAAAGGCTGAAATTTCAAATGCACAACAATAATTGCTGACAATGTTTCGATCGAAAAATTACAAAATCAATTAGGGATGCACGATATATCGGCCACCATATCGGTATCGGCCAAAATTTTCATAACGGTGCATCCCTAAAATCAATAGAGCATTACATATTTGTATACAAATGCTATCTTAAGACATTTTCCTAGTTTTTCCCTTAATGTTTTTAAAAACCAGCATACATTTCCATACCACAAATAAAACTTACTGTAAAAATCAGTTATACGTTACAATATTTTTTTGCTGTGGATCCTACGAAAAGCCCCTGGACCACAAAACCAGTCTTAAATTGCACGGGTATATTTGTAGCCATAGCCAAAAATACATTGTATGGGTCAAAATGATAGATTTTTCTTTTATGCCAAAAACCATTAGGATATTAAGTAAAGATCATGTTCCGTGAAGATAATTCGTAAATTTCCTACCGTAAATATATCTAAACTTAATTTTTGATTAGTAATATGCATTGCTAAGGACTTAATTTGGACAACTTTAAAGGCGATTTTCTCAATATTTAGATTTTTTTGCACCAATCCCAGATTTTCAAATAGTTTTATCTCGACCAAATAGTTTCCTATCCTAACAAACCATACATCAATGAAAAGTTTATTTATTCAGCTTTCAGATTATGTATAAATCTCAAATTCAAAAAATTGACCCTTATGACTGGATTTGTGGTCCAGGGTCACATATGTTTATATATCTGAAGTCCATGAGTGCAAGCATATTTCCTCAGATATTTGTTCATTATAGTTTGTTTTAAACTAGAACTCTTCTAGTTTGCTGGTTTTATAGACACATTAAACCAGCTAAGACCGTTAAAACGGGCCCATGTGTCATTTGTACTTGTGTTCAATAGTATCGTTTGTGCTTTGTTGCTCTTATTGCTGAGGTAAAACCATTTACCCTCCAGGCCGCACGTGGCAGCAGAGCGTCAAACACGTACATCGCTCCAGAAGAACAGATTCATTGCATCGCTTCAGGGACGTCTGCTGGTGAAGTGGTGTCAAAACAGGCAAGAACATGATGTATTTTTTTAATTTACGCGTTTGATATAGCCTTCTAAAATTCGTTTGAGGTCAGCACTAGACTGACATGCTTTAATAGCTTCGTTAGTGTCAAAGTACATGTTGAATTTGCGAGTTTTAGACTCGTTCTTATGACTAGATATATTCCCGGCTATGCTAACAAGCTAACTGGTTGTTTTTTACAAGTTTAGTGATTATTACAGTTTTCTTAAGTTAGACATACAATGTCTTTGCAGTGTATTATTTAAACAGTCAAAACAAATTGAGAATAATAGCTGTTGGCTATTTTAGCTCATCATTTTGCAGTGTTTGGGCTGCATAGCTCTGACCCTGGCAGAGGCTTTTGTATATTTGTTTTAAACTGAAAAGTTCAAGGACGTTTATTCATGTTTATATTAATTCAGAGTCCTTTATGAATGATTAATTATGCGTTAATACGGTATTGCATTTTAGAGTGGCATTTTATTCCAGTTAAGGTTAGTTGGGTACAAAGCATTTCAGTCTTTTTAGGCTGTTTATTTTTATGACAACAGGCCTGTATGCCTAAATCCTTGGAATTATATCCTATGAGTGCCTGCTTGGGTTAAAATGACATATTGATTGGTATTGTATGTCTAAAATTTAGGAACCCTAAGATTTTTTTTACCTAATGTTTGAGTCAGATTTTTGATCAGATCTTATCGCTGGAAATCATTTACTGACCCATTGGCTTGATTTAATCAGCACTCAGACACACAAACAAGTTGTTAGCTGTGAGGACCATTTAGACATTTCATATGATTCAAACATATGACTCTAACAAATTAATATGACAAAATGAGCTCTTCTGAAGTGCTTGGTAAAAATCTAGCCGTTTATAAAAACACAATTAAACGTCTATTCTGCTGTAATTCACTGTGTGTCATGATTGACCACACCATACCAAACTACAGTATTTGCGCACCTTGACAAATTTGTTATAATTATAATTTTTTTTCTACTAATACCTGGAATTGACCAACTAAAGAACACAAGATCTATGCAGGGTTTATAAAGTAGTAGGATTGTAATCTGTATATGAGGTTGATTTTGATGTTTTCCTGTTTTGCAGGACATTGTGTGTGTGTGTGTGAAAGCTGTAACGCTGTGCTGATGGAGCAGTGTGCTTGTGTGGAACGGGAGCTCGAGAAGGTGCTACACAGGTTTGTCACATATGGACATCAGTCAGAGGAAAGGCTGGATGAACTCCTGAGGAACGTCTGTGAGCTAAGAAGTCGATTGGTTGCCTATGGTGAGCTTAGAATCCACTTGAATACCAAATTTTCGGCTTTGGTGCAATACGATCATCTAGTAGTTTGGTTTCTATATCTTAGGCAATAAATCAGCCATGGGTACCTGATGAAGTGAAGGCTTGGAGATTTGATCTGAATGGCACACATGGCAGAATATTTGAAATAAGTATAAAGAAACTGGACAATATGAAATCTTGTTTCTGCCATAGAATAAAAAAATAAAAAAGGTAATTGCAACTTTATCTCTCAATTCTGAGTTTTTTCAATTCTTAGTTTATATCTTACAATTCTGACTTTCTCAAAATTGGAAGATTATATCTCACATTTCAGACTTTTCTTCTCCTCAGAATTTTATGTCTATATAATTATAATTGTGAGATAAACTTGCAGTTCTGAGCAGTCAGAAGTGTGAGATATAAACTCGCAATTGTAAGAACAAAAGTCAGAAATTTGAGATGGAAAAAGTTGCATTTACATTTTTTTTCCCATGTTATCAGTTGTCAGCTTGTGTGAGAGTGATTCATAAGTCAGTGCTGGTACATGAAAACAAGACTAAAGAGGAGGAGGAGGAGGAAGTCAACCAAGTGCTTTACAGCTTTGAAAAAAGCCAATTCAGTGACATTAAGTCATGAACAATAGGTGTACTTTAGATGCCTGCATAAATAATAGCCTGCAGTGCAAACAAACATACTAAGACACAGGAAAAACGGCAAATAGCTGTATAACCTCTAGCCCACACGTTAGATTTGTAGATGGTTATATAAGCATAACTCTGTTACAGAGATGAGTCACAGTAGCATATGTCTGTTTAGATCAAAGTTCACCAAGTTGTTATATTTCATCATACTCCGTTTCAACTCTAGGTGTTCAAGATGCAGATTTGTCAGTGCTCCATCAAACAATGGCCCAGTGCTGCAAGGAAATCAAAGAAACCGTGCAGATGCTTGCCTCCAGGCACAAAGACATCCATGGCAGTGTGTCAAAAGTGGGGAAAGCAATTGACAGAGTAAGAATCAAGTATTAAATGGACATTAAATTTAACAACAGTTTATCTTAATCAGGGTCTCCCAAACTGGGGGTTGTTTATGATAAATATTTAAATTCTAGAAATGGAAATTAAAATTTTAGAATAAAAACAAAAAGACATACTAATGAAAGATAAAATATATTATGTTTTATATGAATAAATATCTTCATATAAATCTTCAATCCCGTTCTTCCTCTCTTTTCCTAGTAGTTTACGTGTTGTGTTGTACATTTTCTGTCTGTTAAAATTGAAAATGTGTACCTGTTTG